TTTAGAGACCTTAAAAATTGAACTTAATAAATAACCATAGATGGATCTTCTGAAAGAAGACAGCACACACAGATAACAGAAATATTTGCAATTTATCAGGTTAAAAGTGTCCAAAACCACCAAGTTCACAAATCAAACTTGGCTATAATAGTTAACACTATTTGGATGCACAAACTCTGCTATGTTCAAAGTCAAATAAATCAATGATGTCCTTCCAATTTATAAAGGCATCTGTACTACAAATTACGACTTTAACCTAGTTAAAAGTTCAACATCAGTGTCTCTCAAAATGCAGACTACTGGGCCCCACCCCAAATTTGCTGAATCAGAATTGAGGGGGAATGCCAGAATGCTGTACTTTGATCAACTCCCCAGGTGATCCTCAGGCATACTAATGCTGGAGAGCCACCATCTTCTTTGTGAGATTTATAACAAGGTTTTGGATTTCAGGAACTAAAATCCCTTGCGTTTAGAACCTTTTTAAGCCAAATTTCATTATTTAACAAATTAATATTTCAAGAAACTTAGGTAATAAATACGTTGTGGCAGAAAAACAAGTACATGAAAAAATTATAGCAGAAATTAAAACAACAAAGTTTTAGTACAGGCCGTTTAATTTTTAACACAAGATTTAAGATACCCCTAATCATCTTCAAAGGCCAATAGGTCTTTGAAAACAAAATTCCTAACTTAAAAATAATCCAATTCACTATATTAAAAATATAGTATTCCAAATAGGTTCAAATTCATTTACTCAGCTGTTAAGTAAATAAGGGAATGAAATGTTTGTCTTATACTAAATATATGCAATGATTAAACTTATAAAGCCAAACCCAAATAAAGCTTTCCATATTCCACTATTAAATTTACTCTGGTCAGAAACTGATTTTTCACAAACTTGTGTAACTTTCACAAACTTACATAAACTTGTATAATGGAAAGAGCAATGGAGCAAAAACTAGAAGCCACCCAGAGTCTAGTTCTGGCTAATCTAGCTTCTAGCTATGTGACCACAGGGCCTAGACAAATCATTTTACCTATCTGCAGAGAGAAGGCAACTATCTATCACTCATCTCAAAGGATTACTTACTGTGAGAATGAAATGAGAGAGTATGCAATATATTCTGAAATACTGTAAAGCATTTTATAAATCAAAAGACTTATTAAGGGAGTAAAATTTGAGAGACACTATCTTTAGGTGCCTGATGTAAATAGACTATTACAGAAGCAATGAAAAACAAAAATTGACCTCATAGATTCAATCAGATATTGCACATTATTGTGTATATTCTATAAATTACAAAACGTAAGAATTGGATTCAGCTACCTGTCCATGTCCCTGTCTATAACATCTATTTCTTGTGTAAAGATAAATGAAATCAAATAGGCCATGAATTGATAATTGTTAAAAACTGTTCGGTAAGCATATTATTTTACTTTCATGTTTGACAATTTCCATAGTAAAAAATTTTAACAATGTATGTTTTTATAAAACACTTGTAAAAGCCCCAAAATGAATCTTATAAGTTATCTTTTTGAAAATTATTCCCATAACTACTGCATCATTTTGCTTCAATGTTACTCCAGATTCTACATATTCCAAAATAACTACTCTAAGTACTTTTCTATACATTAGACACCTATTATTCCCTTCCAACTGGACCTGTAAATACTCTTAGCAAGCTGAAAAAATTTAATTCTTAAGTTCTGCTTCCTGATCTCTACTCCTTTGGGTTTTCTGTTGTTCTTGTTCATTCATTGCAAAATTCTAGAATTAAAACTTAAAAGCAACCAGTTTCAACTTAAATTTCCTTCAAAATGTAAGGAAAAAAGGTGGCAGATACTATTCTTTATTAGAATTGAAAAGGACCATGGATACTTGTTATTGGCCACTCCTTTTAAACACTACTTATCTATGCAACTCAATCCACATAGTAAAAGGTGGTTTCATCCAAAATGAAGTTAACATGTGAGACAAAAGAAGTTAGTGAATGTAACCCCCAATCAAGGATTTCTATTAAAGTATGCGTAACCATGTATAAATATTCTGCATGTATCAACCTAATCATCCAACTAAAGTTCTTTAGCCTAGGACCACATTCCACAGATTGAAAAAGCATAAAGGATTTTTCATTTCAAGCAGGTATTTTGTTTAATAAAAACCTTAACTATAGCTCAATAATTTAGGCTTTATGTCTATATGAAGTCTACAAAGAAACTGCAGATGTTGAATTAAAATTTAAATGCAGAGAGAAGGGTAATGTGGTAATAAAACTGTATTTGGTAATTTCCACACATTAATTTATCCATTATTGTAGAGCTAAATCTTTGTTTCTCCATGTTATATCTGCAGTCACAATAAAAAAAAAGCATCCTGTGCCAGAAGAGCTTGTGTACCTTAAATTTTTGATCTGGTAAGGGGGAAGGCCAGGAGGGAACAAGTAGGCAGGGAAGGAAATCTCACCAATTCAGCTGTCACTACAGCATTTGTTTTCTAAGCATTAAAAACTCCATTTATTTTTATGAGATGCATTGGAGAGGAGCCATATATAGAAATCACTTTTTCAAATGACGTCTTTAATAACTCTGAATGTAAGTACTGTTGGAATGCCTCATTTGTATTATTTAAAAACAAGCAATTGTACAACTCACAGTAAAACCATAGAAGGCAAACTGCTGGAAGATGAAAACCAAAAAGAATGATTATACCTTAATCAGGCAAGGTTAAAAATTTTACAGACTTTGTGTATTTACTTTTGAATCAATAGCACAGAAGCTAAGAAAAAAACTGTAAAACCACTATCAGGCTGGTAGGTACCTTATTTAGTGGAAATGGCTCATTTTAAATATCTATTTACAATGCAGCTATTACTTCCCTGTAGATCCAGACTGTCATTGCCCCTATTTTTTGTATCATAAACACATCAAAACTAGTTTCTCACCTCATCTCAGAATCGTACATTAAATCCTAAGCTTCTGTTAAAAAACCATAACTTTCCATACAACTACAAAAATCCTCCCTAAAAGAGTGAGGAATTACAGAATAACGAAAAATGAAGACAATTTCACCTTATACATCTAAGTAGGGATGCCAGTAATGACAAGTGGAAAAAAAATCAATAAGTCGCATTCTGAATTTTCACCATTTTAATAAAAGAAAATCACGAAATTTTAAATTAAAGGTGGCGCTCTGTCCTCACCTCACCCCGATTGTGACTCACTTTTGCAGACTATATGGTAGGAAATAACAGTTACTTTTCAAAGATCTTTGCAGTTACACCCAGACCAAAATCAGGACAGAGATCCACCCTTAATTACAGCAATTTAACTGTCTTACCCAAAGCAAGGTAGAAACTAAAACGTCCCCTGAAATCACAACCAAATAAGCCCCTCACATACACTAGTTTCCAAAGGTTCCTTTTAAGGAAAATGTTTTTATTTACTTCAAATTTGAACTCACCAGGAAGAAGGAAAAAAAGAGGAGGAGGAGGGACCCAAACGAACCGCACAAGTACAAAAAGCAGATTCTGCTCCAATCCCTCTAATTCCCCCAATCCGCCGCTGCCACACACACAAGGGCAGTCTGGGGAAAGCTCGCAACAGGGCAAGCGGTGAAGGCCCTTCATTCTACTCACGTGGGCCACCATCCAAGGGTCACACACCCTCTGCTCGAGGACAGCCTCACACAAAGACGATCCTTACAAGTACTTATTGTAAAATACACCCAGGGTGAATAAGAGCTTTATTTTAAAATAAGGCTCGCCTCAGGTGGGGGAGGTTAAACACAACAAAGGCTTCCATGTGTTAAAAGGCAGGCCAAATACATGCATATACCTACACAAGTATGAAAAAATCCACATAACTAATTTATCATGATCAGCAATTGATACCAACAGGAGCCATTAGATTATTAATAAACCCGGAGAAGTAGCGTGCACAGCAGACAAAGGTGGCTGTCTACTGCGCTCTAACCCCAAGTAAAGGTGCCTGCGGAGGAGGGTCCAGCCTTCTGCAGATTTAGACACGCTCGTGCATCCGACCTAGGCACACACACCCCGCCCCCCGCCAAGCCCCACTGAGCCGCACAGGATGAGAGCACTACCAGCGCTGCAAGTCCCGGAGACAACTGGTGAATGAAATGCGCATAGAGACCACCTGGCTAGTGACCATGGCACAGAAACAGTGGTCGCTAACTAGCTTTAGCCATGGGATTCTCCTACAGGATGGAATAAAAGCAGCACAAACCCCCACCCCCGCAACTGGAATGCGGTTCTAACTGACCCTTTCCTAAAAGAGGGTGGAAGGAGAAGGCTTCTTTTTTTTCCTTTTAAACTCAATCTAAAAACACGAATGAGAAACAACCGTGAACACACTGGGGCGGGTAGGGGGGCGCAGACGGGAGACGCGGGGAGGAAGGCGAGGCGGCTCTCCAGCTCCTGGGGAATCACCGTCCGTAGTGACAACGCATCAACCAGGAGGCATGGTCAGGGGCCGACGCGGGGCCCCCGCTCTCCGCCGGCGGAGCGCCAGTGGGGCCGAAGCCAGGGATTAGAGGAGTGACCCTCCCGGGGCGCAGAGAAAGAGGGCCGAGCACCGCTGCCCTCAAGGTCACCAAGCGCCGGGGCGGGGGCGACCGGCGGCAGGATGGGCTGCGGCGCGGGCGAGGCGGCTCGGAGAAGTCGAAGAGCTGTGGGTGTAGACGCGGAGCGCCACCGAGCCCCGTGTCTCCGGTCCTGGGCGGGGACTCCCGGCCGGACCCGGCGCAGAGGCGCGCGCTGCGAAACCTGCTCACCTTTACGATCCGGAGGCGGGCGCGACAGGAGACGACCTGCTTGGGGCCCCAGACGCCCGCGCCAACTTCTCGGACTCCACGGCAGCCCGCGGGGCACCCAGCTGTCGGGACCCCGCCGCGCCGCCCGACCTCCGAGTTCCGCCCGGACTCCCCCGCAGGTGACCTGCCCCGCCGCCACCGCCGCGGGCGCACGGCGGCCGCCACTCACCTCGCCCGGCAGCAGGAACCATTTTCCGAGGGGGGAAGAAAGGCGAGGCTGCAGGAAGGTCGGATGGGGGGCGGTGAGGGACAGCGGGAAGCGCAGAGAACGCGGGCTCGGTCCGCGGCGCGTCCGCAGCCGGCTCTCAGCACTCGGGCCCCACGCGGAGCTGCGGTGCACCTCGAGGATGAGACGGCTGCGGAGCCGACCTGCTTGCTCAGCCTCCACCGGCCGGGGCTCCCTACTCACGCTGCACCGCGAGGAGGCGGAGGCGGCAGCGGAGGAGGAGGCGGCGCCCAGCCCGGCCCCCGCCCAGAGCCCGGCAGCCGCCGAGCGGCCGCCCCGCGTCCCCGCAGGACCCGCCTCCTGGACTCCGCAGAGCCGCACACAGGGCGCGCCGCGCCGGGCAGCCTCGCCAGCCTCCCGCTGCCGTCCGCAACGGAAGCGGCGGGAGGGGTGCAGCCCCCGCCGTGAGCCCTGCAACCTGGCCCGCTCGGGGCGGCGCCCGCGGCCACCGGGGGGCGGACGGCCGAGCACGAGGGCTGCGCGAGGCTCCCAGCAGGGACCCCGTGTGCACCGGGTGGCCGGCGAGCCTGCAGGCCTGGGCAGGGGGAGGTGAACTCTCACCCGTTCCGGTCTGGCGCTCCCTTCTCTCCACACCCACACGCCTCCCGCTCCACGCTGGCGCACAGCTGCTCCCGCTGCTACTGCCACCGCAGCCGAAGCTCGCGCCGCCGCCGCCGCCGCCGCCTTGGCTGGGCGCGGTCACGTGACGCGGCCCGCGGGGAGCCTGGGGGCGGGCGGGCAGGCGCGCGCGCGTCCGCGCGCGCGGAGGAAGCCCGGCTCGGACGGGGACTGGGAGCCTTGCGGCGGGGAGAGGGCGTTTAAGGAGAGGACGGGCGAGCGCGCCCTCGGCTGGCGAGCGCGCGCCGGGCGATTAGAACTTGCCGCGCGGTCAGGAAAGGGTGGCCGGAGTAAGGGGCGGGGGAGTCGCGCCTCCGCGCGCCCCTCCCTCTCTTCCTTCCCGGAGCGCCTCGGCCCGCCGCTGCCCCCGCCCCCTCCCTCTCGCTCCTTTCCTCCTGAGGCTGCCCGCGATTGGCTGAGAGGCTCTGACGTTCGTGTTTCCATGACGTATCGGGCGTGGGGAGCGGCGGGGGAGGAGGGGGCGGCTCGGGCGCGCGGGGCGGTGACTCCGTCAGTCACCGCTGCAGTTTCGGCGCGGGGTAGGGCTGCTCTCACCGCGGTGGATGCCGGCGAGCGGGGGAGTGCCGCAGGCTGACTCGGGCGCCTTTCACCTGGGGCCCCGCGCGAGGCACCCGCGGGCCCGCGTACCTCCAGAGTCCGGGGCACGGCCGACGGGCGGGCGAGGGCGAGCGCTTCTGGCGAGGACAGGCTAAGGCCGACCCCGCGTCAGCAGACCTCCTCGCCGCGTCTCTGCTCCACGCCGTACTGGACTCTGCCTGTCCCGGGCCGTGGCGCACGCGCCGGACCACGAAGTGCTCCCAGCTCACTTACTCCCAGGGAAGGAGAGCCCACTCTCTTTCCGGGCACGGGAGCGCTCGTGTCCGTTCCTGCCGGTCGGGCCCCCAGACCCCGGGCATCTCCCCTGCAGCGCCCGAAGGGTTAACGCAGGCGTTCGGCTGCTGCAAACAGGCCCCTCAGGATCCGCGCTAAAATCCCTCATGTTCTCACTTTTTATCTATGCCAAGGTGTTGGCTCTTTTAGCTCACTTGTAGCATCTGCATCCCGTACCTACCTTCCGTGCGGGGAAAAATGAGAAAACACGGGTGACGTGTGGGATATAGTTACTAAAAGGTAACCTGCTTTGCCCCAACCTCCAAAAAAGTTGATAAACCATCTGTAGTGACATATACTTTAAAAATAAAAAGGTTTTTACTTCTTACATACACGCATATGTAAAGATTGGTGTCTTACCCAAGACCCCGCCCTCCACCTTCATCGAATCGTCTGTATTTGAACTAACCGTCGCCGCTCATTCAGAGACCTTGTCCGACAGTGTTATTTTCAGTACCACTTAGTAAGTTCTTCAGTCTCCTTTCTCCTAACTCCAAGGTTGGAAAACTTGATATTTGCAACGTCTTCTTAAAAGCATACAGGCGATGCCAAAGACTTTTATTATATTTTAAGCATTTTTAAAGGTTTCTAAACAAAATATGTAAAAAGTTTAAAAAACGAACAACTCCAAGTTAACCCTGTTAAAAATACATTTTTAATCAGATTAGGTATTTTCAAGGTCAAACATTCCCAGCTTGTTGAGTTGTGCCTTGATGCGCAAAATAAGCCGTGGGCAGAATGACAATGTTTTTCCTCTCTTTAATCACTTGTAAGGAACGGAATGGTGTGGTACAATAGCCCTTCCTGACACTATTTCAAAATTTCTTAACAGAAGAACAGATTAACTTTTAAAAGCGGCTTAGACAAATGTAAGAATTATTGGCTTTTGTCCAACTTTTCCTCCAAGGAAGTCGCAATGTAAAATTGAATTATGCATTCTACTTGAATAAGAATTTGACATTAAAGTAATTATGAATCATTGCTATAGTACACTAACAAAATGGATAATAGATTAAACTAGAATCTGTTCACTTTGTGCATTTATTGCAATTCCAAATAATAAATACATGCACTTAAAATGTGGTCTTGAAAAATTACTCAGTACCTTCATTTTAGAACATAATTTCAACAGAATTTTCATTTATAGAGATTATATACATACCTCAGAACATATTTATATGCATTTAATGAACTGTGAGTCACATACAATGATATACTTTTACTGTCACAGTCAATATGATTGTACTGTGTAGTATTTAGTTCTTATATTTTCATTCTTCAAACAGCAAATGAAGGCTGAAAGTGATATAGAAATAACTGGAAATTCATTTTCACATTACAGTAAGAAATTAATCTTTTTCTCCCAAAGGTTTAGTAACTGAAATGTCCTTAATTTCAATTCCTTAGTCTTTGGCAATTCCTAAAAAGAAAAAAAAAATGGAATTACTTGAATTCAAAGATGTCTGAATTGCATTTGATATTTGATAAAAATTGCATCTGATATAACCATATTTCTTAATCTTAGACCTCACTTATCCTATGGATTTAACTGACCAGAGATATATCAGTGCATAATTAGAACAATATAATAATGCAATTTATTGTTGGAATACTTAATCTTAAAAGCTCTTTTAATACCCTTTGAATATCTTTTCGTTACACTGCAAAATGTATAAAGGTGTTTAAATCCTATGACAAGTTACTACTTGGGATGTCAACATTGTTTGAAGATAGGCCGTGCATTCAAAAGGATGTGTTCTGCAAACTGTTACAGTATGTTTCTTTTAGTGGAGTAAATCTAAACCATTGATTACTTTCCGATAAGTTGATCAATTCAACAACATGAACTAGTCATGTGTAATTCACAGAGACAGTTTTCTAAAATCCTCAGTGTAATTATGTGTAAAGGGAAACATTAGGATCTTCATTCCCTCAAGAATTCTCACATGGATCGAGCAGGACAAAAGAAATGACAGCAGAAGTAGTTTTAAAACCATATCATTTCCCAAAATACATATTTATACAAATGTGCATGTGTCAGTTCTGATCATTGCAGAATGCTAAGAGAACTGTCTGGTGTAGGGAGTCAGGAGGAATATTAAATGCTTCATAAAAAGTAGTTGTATATGTTCTCAAATTTCTGTTTACTTGGATCACCAAAGACATAGATGTCAAGAGAAACATTACTTAGCTGAGAACCACAAAGAACTGTTACCTGTTTATTGTTAATAAATTAAAAAATTAATTACATTTGCAGAACTGAATAAAATATGATTACAGGTAAGCCTAAAATAAGATAATCAGTCACACAATGGAAAATTTTAATAGATGAAAAATGCAAAATGGTTAGATGTCATCATTGACAGGAATTATTTAACACCCTGTACTCTTCACGTGTAAGGCATTTTTTTCTACCCAGAATGTTGTATAATTAGGTCATAGAGTATGGTCCTAGATTTAAATTCTAGAGAATCAAAAAAAGGGAAAGATTATATTTAAGTATTGTTGAAGAGGTTTTCCTAAAAGAGGCTTTGGACTTGACTTGTGTCAAGGAAGACATCTAGGATTTAAATTAATAAAAAAGAAGATGGGCAGTAGAAATGCCAGGAACAGCAGTTGGGGATTAACAAGTTTCCTACATCCATTTTCCTATCCTTTTATCATCCATGAAACATATATTGACTATCTTTGATATCCTTGCCTCCATAAGTGGAACTCATTTATTTTCCCATTAGTAATGGTGAGTTATGGTATATCACAAGGTTGTGAGGTTTTGGTGAGATGTTTATATAAAGCTCTTGACATGAGTGCTTCATGTATATGAACTGTTTAATCAGTGTTATTATTATTATTATTTATAAGCATTTGTTCTTTATCTGTTATTACCAAGTAAATATACTGCAGACAAGAATATACTTTTTACTTTACAAACTTTAATGAATAGGGATTTATTATTCTCACAGTAGAAGTTCAGAGGTAGGTCATGGAATGATTTGATTGGTTCAGCTGCTGAATTAGCCATCAAGGATCCAGGCTCAGAGCTTTCTGCTCTACCATCCCTGGTGTATACTTACTTCAGTATCTTTTTATGCTAACAATGGGAAAACCAACAGGATTTTCTCACATTTAGGGAAAATGCTACATTTTTCAGATTTTTTTTTAGTGCCTATATTTTTATGACTTCCCATTGTTGCCCTTCTCATTCATATCATATAATGCCCTGTTCATTATACCTTTTCTTTCAAACTCTTTGTTTTTCATGACCTTAGGATGTGCAGAAGAATCACCTGGAGCAAAAATAGAGCTTCTGATTGGGTCTGTTTGGAGTAGAGCCAGCAAACAGGCATTTTTGACATTCCCTTTAGGTAATTTTGAAGCACTTCACCACCTCTGTTTCCCTCATTTGTCATAATATTTTTTTATGTGTGTGTTCTTCATTAGGTCATTTCATTTTGCTGGCTATTTCTAATAAGATCTTATGCTTGAGCATTTCCTTCTATCCTAGCTTCTATAAGTTTCATCCATTTTCAGGAGTTTAGCCCCTGGAAGAAAAGTATCATGTTACT